ACTCTTTTCCAGAATACTGGGAAACTTGACGGAAACACTCTCACTGTGACTACGACTGCGGATGATGGTCGATATGGAACCAGGGTTTACGATTTTACCCCAAAGGGATTCGTGCAAGTAAGATCTTTGCCCCTAGACCGTTTAGGTGGTAAACACGTTTTCGATTTGCAGACTCTTACCGTTATGAATGTAACAGCTAAACGTCATTTTGCAAGAGTTAACTGAGAAGCTATTCCGGTTACTGCGTACGCTTTCGTGTCTGTTGTGTTCCTTTGGCAATATTTCAAATCTGTGCCCAATTCAATCACCCGCTGTACTAAAATTATAATATAATCTACCTATGTGAAAAATAAACTTGCTAGCTAACGCTTTTTTAATTAACACAGGACCAACCTATCGAAATATTTAAAAGTGTTCCTTACTGTGATTCATTTTTACTGCAAATAGTTTTTCACCAACCTGATCAAGGTGAGTGGAGCACTTCCTTCCTGGTGGTTGTAGACCCAAGATGCTTATTGCTTCAAACATATTCAGTGGTGAGGATCCCGATCTGGATCCCTTTTCTTGTGGAGGTTACTACTTTTTGTTGAGGATTTTTTGTCCACAAACTCTTGGCGCGGTTTCATTTGATAATATTTGTTAAATGATCTCGTCTTTGCCGTTTTTCATTATATGAATTTATGTCAGTTTTCGTTAAACTTGACAAGGGTAGTAAACGTTGGGCAATTGCAGTACATCAGTGCGAGGGGTCCCTCTTTACCCTTTTTCGCCCGTTGTCAGGTTTTCGAGGCCCAGATTCGTAACGTCCCTTTTTACTGGTTCAACCCTGAGGCTCCTTTTATGAGGATCAACCATCAACCTTTATTTGTCTGTATACCATAAATAGGTCACGTCAGTAAATATAGTAAATAATAAATTAGTACAATGCATATATAAAAGGAATAGATAGATAGATAGATAGATAGAACTTTATTGCTCTTGAAGTACAAAGTATACTTATAACACAGCTTATAGCAACTGAGTTAAGTTTTTGCTTATTATACCTAACAAAAAAAAAATAATAATTAGCTTCATTATAAATACTACAAAATAAATAGCAATTAGTTTTATTAATATGGTTATAAAATTTGAAAAAAGAAAATTTGATCATTCATTTAAAATAAAATAAAATAAAAACAGCTTAAGTTCATAAAACCAAAAATAAATTTAAAACCAATGATTTCTCTCACAACTATTCTACACGAGGACAAAAAAAAATAAAAACGCCCTATTATAAACTAAGCAGGCCTAAAAATAACAGTCTAAGGATAGACTTATACAATATCGTTCCTGATTGTATCAAACTTTACAATTTTTTTTTAATTTAAAAGAGTTGTTAAGGCGTACTTATTGAGCCATTCTTTTTATAACGTAACTGGGTATTTACATACGCCTAGGAAAACTTCAATAATTTTAATGATATTTATTTATTTCATTGTTTGTTTACATTTTCTTTTGTGTACGTGTGTAGTAGTATTCACTTCAGTCATTTTTACCTTTACTTGTTTATATTTTATCTCTGTTTTGTCTCTTTTTAACAAAAATTTTAAATTGTTTATAATCTATATCATTCTGTTTTAGCTACATGGTTTGACTAGCTTTTATTTATTTGATATTTTAAACTGTTTTTACTATTTTTTTTATGTATACATTTTACTAATTTATTATTTACTATATTTACTGTCGTGTCAAAACGGACAAATAAAGATTGATGGATCAGCCAAAAAACCGCAATTAGATCGTGAATATTTTAGGAAATAAAAAGCGGGTCCAAATCTCAAACAGGCAGCATCCACAGGGATTTAGTGGATAAGTGGAGGGAAATCTTGCGCTCTGGTCTTATCGATAAAGACCGCGAAGAATTGCTAAACAAGTATCGCGTACCCCAAAATTGTTGTCAGATTTCCACTCCAATTTTGCATGAGTTTTTAAAAGCGACTGTTGAAAAGAGTGTTGTGGAGAGCGATGCAAAATTTATTAATAAACAGAATCAATTTTCGGTTTGTTTATCCGCAATTGGACACTGCCTTACAAAGATTTTTTATAATTTATAATTTTGTAATTCTTGTTACTAAGAACATATGAATGGCCGGGTTTTCTGTGTCAGTAAATATTCCTTAAACCTCAAGCAACTTTGCAGATGAAAATGCGCAATCCAATTTTTGTATTTGTTAACATATTTAAATTAAATTAAAAATTTAAATTTTGTATGTACGCACCTCAAGTTTTTTGTTTGAAATTTTGACCACAGATGTTTCTAGTAAAGACGAGCATATTGCATATTTATATTTGATTTTGATCAAATGATATTCGACAGTACAAGGAAGCAGAATTGTATCGATAACATCTTTGTTAATTTCAAGGTAAACCTTGAACATGTTTCTGTAATAGATCATATACTCTCCGATCATAAAGGACAGGAGATAAAATTGCTAGGTTCAGATGTTACAAATAAAGAAAAAATTTACGCCAAATGTAGACCCTTTACCCAAAAGGGAAAATTTTTGTAGTACCAATGTTTGAGCAACACAAACTGGAACTTTTTAAAGGATTGTAGTAGTCCCAGCGAGGTTAGGTTTAATATATTTTTTAATATAATTCTACAAGAATTTGATAATTGTTTACCAGTCAAGTGTAAACATTTTAATAAAAATCAAAAATCAATTTCCTGGTTTAACTAGCATTTAAGTAGGATGAGGGAAAAACTCTCACTGATAAAAGATGTTTATAACGCATACAATACCAGTCCCCTACGTACACTTAGGAATAACTTTAGACAAACATATCGTACTGAACTAAGGAAAGCGAAAATGTGTGCAAATAAATCATTTATCAACAATGGCAAAAATTCTAGTAAGGCCATGTGGTCGATTATCGATTCTTCTAGAAACACTAATCGTCAGGAAAGTCTATCGAACCTAACACCTGAAGAGTTTAATACATATTTTAAAGAAATTCCAGCGAAAATCACCAACAGAATTAATTCTACTTCTTCTGCAACATTAAGCACGAGCTCATTTTATCGGATTAATAATCAGGCTCCCCACTTAAAATTTTTTTGCACGAAGTAAGCATCATTGAGGTAAGAGACGCCATTACGTCTTTATCTAATAGTAAATGTCGAGACATATATGATCTTTCTGCAGAAATTGTAAAATGTCTAAGGGATTTAATTGTATTACCACTAACAGTGTTAATTAATGAGTGTTTTAGGGAAGGGGCGTTCCCAAAGGCACTGAAACGGTCTATTTTACCTTTGTTTAAAAAGGGTGACAAAGAGGATGTTTCAAATTATAGGCCGATTTCAATACTTCCCATTTTTTCAAAAATTTTTGAAAAGATCTTAAAAAATCGCATACTGAATTATTTTGAGGTCAATAATATTTTTTATTTGTTACTCAGTTGTAAACGTTGATTAACAAGACAAAACGCAAACGGGTAAACGTCATGTTTAAACGCTACTGACTTGTAAAACTGACAGCAGACCTGTAAAACTGATAGCAGACCTGTAAAAATTTTACAAGTTAGTAATCTAGTAATTTCATTGGCCAAAATTAATGCGAAGTCTCTGTTACATGGATAACATGATATTTTAGACATTTCTTCAAGATTAATTTAAGAACTAATTATTTACGTTTACTATTGTTTACAAATGAGTAACAAATAAAATATTGTACATTATACGCCAGGTAATAGTTTTTACTGGCTCTAGGAGATTCTCCTATCGCCAGTAAAAACTCACTTACCTGGGTAATAATGTAAAATACTATAATAATGCACAATACGGTTTTAGATCAAAAAAGTCAACGACGGACGCCCTTGTAAATCTATCTAGTACAATCTTAAATACATTTAATGAAAATAATTATACAACAGCAACTTTTCTAGATTTAAGCAAAGCTTTTGATTGTGTAAGTCATCAGATCTTGTTAAATAAGTTGAAAGCATATAATTTTGATGAAATTTCCATTAAACTCATGCAATCATATCTCGAAGAACGTTCTCAAACTGTTAGATATAACGGTTTATTCTCAAAAGAAATATGTGTACAGTCTGGTGTTCCACAAGGTTCCATTTTAGGGCCTGTGCTTTTCTTAATTTATATAAATGACTTGCCTTCTACAGTTAATGGTCATTTCATATTATATGCCGATGACACTACAATACTAAGCTCTGGTTCTGGTCTAGAAATCACAAATATAAGAAGTATAGATCTTCAAGGGCAGTCCAAGTCTTGGTTCCACTTGAACAAGTTGTCTCTAAATGAAGACAAAACAGAAGTTTTAACTTTTACGATGAGGGAGTAGGGACACTGATGTAATTAACCAAAAACCGGTGAAATTTCTAGGCGTCTATCTGGACTCCACACTTTCATGGACACGCCATATTGACGAGCTCTCCTCAAAACTGAACAGAACTGTGTTCTTACTCCGTAATTTACCAAACCATGTTTTTCCGGAAGTTACGCGCACTTCGGATTATTCCATGCCATAATGAATTATGGTATTTTAATATGGGGTCACTGCTCCTCTGTATCTAGAATCTTTAAAATACAAAGAAGAGTGGTTAGAATATTGGCTAACCTAGACTATCAATCTGATAGCAGGCAAGCCTTACCTTACCCTCACTTTACATATATACCTGTATGATTTATATGAAAAGTAATTGCCAAAAATTTAAATGCCACTCGGACTTTCACAATTATGATACGCGAAATGCATAATTACGTACCTACTTATTTACGACTTAAAAAAAGTCAGTACGGCCCTAATTTTTTAGCCATAAAATTTTTTATATGTTGCCCACCGCTCTCAAACATTGCAATGAAATGGAGTTTAAATCTAAAATTAAATCATATCTAATAAAAAAGGCTTTCTATTCACTAGAAGAATTTTTGACGAATAAATGTGATATAATGGAATAGTTTGTATAATTATTATGTTTGTTTGTAATTTACACTTGTGTAAACACCATGTGTAAAACATCAATAAATATTATTATTATTACTATTATTATTACTCTATTTTCTAGCTTCCTCAATAGCAAAAAACTTAGCAATAGTGTCGGATTTAGTATAGGCACACTATCGATTGCGCTATATCGGCAACTGTCACTTTAGGTACATCAAATATATTGCTAAATTTCTTTTGAATGTTCATTGATATTTATAATATATAGATATTCCTGTATTCCAGGATCCATACCGATTGACGGCTAAAGACACATTCATTTATTTGTGTGTTTCCTCTTTTTTATTGTGTTTACCGCATTTTTTCAAATGTATTTGTAAAAAGGTATTAATTTCAGTTTGACCGGCTGGCTGGCCGCAAATGGGGGCTCGTAGAATAACGCTTGTAGAACGACAAGGAGTATCGTCTAGCGGAGCCATGTAATTAACAACTTTAGGGACGAGATTACATGATGTGGGGTCGGCGGCACCTGGGCGCCATCCCCTAGCGTACGTGGGTTTACTAACGTGGTGATTTTTCAGTTTTTTTCCTTCTTTAGTTTCGGTCCGATTGTTCTCAAACTGGTGCCGTCGGAAAGACCTTATAAACGCGCACAACTCTGAATTTTTGTTAGGGGCGAAATTAACCACCCTTTGCAAGGCGTGCAACTTTGAGAGGTAGTTGACTTTCGGTTTCTCTTTCTCGTGTCTCGAGCTGTGAGAAGTGTCCCAAAAATTGAGTACTATTTTGTGAAGGCTTTTTAGCGAAATCGACCAAACTGCGAATTGTGGGGGAAGGAATGTGGTAGCACCCGCCACCCGGCAAAATCTTACTTATGGTGGAGTCAAAATTTCAAACGCGAATTGGGGATGAACGACACGTCGGAAGTGAGTACAAAGGAAATGCCAGGGCTGCTTTTGCTTTTGCGATATAGGCATTTCATTTCAGTCGATTTGGGGACGGTTTTTCATGTTTCAGTTAAACTCATTTGATAGACTTTGTGTGTAGGTTTGTTTCCGAACAAACTGTCAGGTAGAGTAAACGGTCACATCAAAGATCGGCAAGTACCTTTTATATTCAGTGTAATCTATTACATAAAATGCAATTTTCACTGTGCGTTTCTTAATTGACGCCGAACAAGCTCCTTACTTTTTATTATTTAACACAACACTCCACGTTATAAATAATAACGCGAACGTGAATGAAAAGTGGTAGCAATTCATTAAAATGCAAATAACTATGGCCAAACGAATAATGGCAACATAAATATTGTTCAAGCTTGACTTTTGGCAGATTCATAAATAACTGGAAATCAAAGATAAAACTCAACTTCAGCTACGAATTATTTTTATATATTACTTTGTATACCTAACGCTTTTTTCTCACAGGTATTTTCGCACGCTAAAGCGTACTTTAGCATTAGCGATAATGTATTTAACGGAGAACCTGTACACTTTTCGTACATGCCCGATTTAGTTCTTGATCATGCACGTAACGTTACTATTAAGCTTCATCACCGCATTGGACGTTTCCTAAAACTCCAGCTTTACTTCGCCGCTCAATGGATTTTGCTCAGTGAGATTTCGTTTCACTCCGGTAAGCAAGTTTAGCCCTTTTGCGTATCCTCAATTACCCCCATGATTTATAATTCCGTTAAAAAATTCGCATTTTTCAACAAGTTGTGCTCTTTAACCGAAATTAGTTTTTTATTGCGTTTAATAAAAAAAATGTTCGGTGTACATTTTTCATCCCAGCTGAATGCGCTCGACACCCCAAAATATTATACATAATCGAGCACTAAACTCGTTGATAAGTTTCTTTCTTTGTGATACCTATTCAGCAGCACAGCAGCAAGATCACGATCTCATTCCAGCAGTGGTGAGTGGAAATTTTACAGAATGGGAGGAAGACGTCGAGATTCCCGATACGGGTAGAGAATATCCACTGCAAAAAGACGAAGTGGAAGTTACATCTACCAAAACTGGCCGTAATACTGCCGGAGCACCCATAAAAACGGATTCGAACGAGGACTCGAAGCAATATATTGGTTTTGTTATTGGTGTACTCGCCGTAGTTATATTGATACTTACGGCAGCTATTGTTTTCATAGTCTACAGAAATCATAGACTGAAGCAAGTTACGGCGGAACCGAGCAATTTTAACGTGGAAAATCGAATGGACTGCGAACTGAAGGTAAGGCTAGAACATATTGTCATTTAATAAAAATGCGATGGGGGAGGGTTTTATATTCACAAACGTGATGAATGCGCTCGGAAAGTGTGCTTTTGTTACTTTTATTAAACAATCAGAATGCAAAATGTGAAGCTTTCGTATTATGAAGGTATTTAACTGGACAATCCGGTCATTTGCAAATTTCTATTGTGTAGTTTGATACGCAGATGAATTTAAAGTGGTCGACATCCACAAGTTAGGCTTGTTTAAATGGAACGCCATCTTTTTTAATTACTTTAATTGTTCATACCGTATTTATTAAGTCCAAAAAAGAGATATCGTAATCCATCGCGTTTACAAAGCTTTCGTTGGTAATTGTGGACATGCGATTAATTTAAAGCTTTCCATTTGCGTATTTAAATAAAGGCCACGTGATAACGAAGGGATGGCCTCCACTCTTCGGTCCGCCAAGGAAAGGGTTCCTTTATTGGGACGATTGGGTTTAAAGTCTCACTCAAAGAAAATGAGCACATTAGGATGAGAAGGGAGATTTATGAAAGCAAAATAGTACCATTGCGGTTAGTTATCGTAGAATAAAGTTTCGTAAAGGTAGTTTGAGAATTTGTTACGTGTATTTTTCCGTTAGCTTGTCATGTCGCGGAAGGTAAATTGCGATTATGCCACAAACCACTGGTAATATTTCAAAACTTGGTTCAACTAGGGTACACTAAAGCTAAAACTAGAGCGCGTCGGATTTTGTATGGAATATTGAGGAAAATTTATGTGTGAAGGTATTGCAAAGTAAATTGCATCACGTTTGTGAAAGAAAAATAAACAAATGTACCAAGCATGTTTATTTAATCAAACACTTTCGACGATTACAAACAACTAATAGACTTCCAGTTTCTGATATATAAACAATACAATTTTCCTCAATACATTTTCTAGTTACACTTAACTCTCACAGTTAATTTCCATGGAAACAAATTCACATGGGTTGTCTGCTAGACCAACATGAACAAATCTTTTTATACCATCCGCTTAATTTTCTTCTTTACCTATTAATGATCAATACCATTTCTGTTGAAATTTCCTTTAAATTTTTGTCCAGTTTTATTACCATGACTTGATAAAATTCTGGGCAGGCCTGCATTTTCATTTTCGTTGCTTTTTCCTATTGAAGCATGGTAAATATATTCACATAGGTACACAGTGACATCGCATGTATAAATATACTTGGAGTCTTTCTACTTTTCACTGATCTTAGTATTTAGTGCACTTTCACTTTCAAAAAATAAAAAGTGTACTTTTGCGCTCCTTATGTCTGTCTGTCAGAAAGGCTCCGGAACTACACCACTTACAGACTTGGTGGTATTGGTGTTATTCGATCAGAAATTAAAAATTATTTCATGTTTGCATTCTCGTTAAGGCATGAAATGTCAGTAAGGGCTATTAAAATCGAAAAAACAAGTTTTGCACTCTTCGCCTCTTGCTCACAAGCGGCTAAACGAATTTTTTTATCATTTGCAGGATTATTTTGTCGTTTCCCTCTGACCTTCCTAATTTGAAACTTAACTTGACTCGTACAACTTTACCCAAGTTTTCTGTTAAGTTTTATCGTCACATTCATTTTGAGTCACGTGTCATAGTCCCTATTTTTGTGCCCCATTTTATTTTTCCGCGTAAAATAGTTCACTTTCGTAACCTTTTTCCTTTTAGTATGATTTTTCCGTATTTGACCACTAGTGATCTTATCTTGATTGCCTTACCTTTCTTTGGTATATACATATTTGGTATATACAAGAAAATTTCATCCATTATTGTTAAGATTACTACCGTCAAAAACCGAAACGTTCGAAGCAGCGCAGCAGAGGAACCATAAACATCGAAGGTTCAGACGAAACTAAAGAATCTCTGGAAACGGAAAAATTGGAAAAACCGAAATTTGGACTTCTCATTTGCCTAGAAATAGTGCCTACTTTGATTTGATTTTCCTGCATTTTTTGCGTATTCGTCCTCCCATCGTATTTGTGGTCTTCCCCTTTCTCTTTTCCCCAACCATGGTCTCCAGTTTAGTGTTTGCGCATTCCATCTTTTGTCCAGAAGCCGCCGTATGTCCTCCCTGGTTGAATACTCTTGTTTTTTATATTGTGCAATGTTTTTTTTATTTTCCAGTGCATCTCGAAGTTTTCCGAATGCTGCTCAGATCAATTTGATTCTTTTTCCTATTTCTTGGTTTTCTTTGATAAGTTTTATTCTCTGTCTTCTTTGTGTTCTTATCTTTCGCCGTTTATTTTTATGATTAGATTCTCTCTGGTGTTTGTCATTATGTTTGTTTTATTTTTTTACCTGTCACCCATTTTTTTCTGATGCAACATGCATTTATTGTAATTCTGTTGAGCTCTTAGTAGACAAAATTATGTCATCCGCGTATTTTAGGCGATTCAATTAACTTCCGTTTATGTTTTTATGATTTTGTTTCCCATTCTAGTTTTTTGGGGCTCGGATAGTCATATTGGGCAACAAAATATGAAGCCATGAAGATTCGACCGAAAACCACGTTCCCAATAACATAGTTTTTCAGTCTGCAGTTACATCTAAAGAGGCGATATTCTTTAAATTTGGGCATTGTATTCCGGAGCACACAGAACCATAATAAGAACGATTAAGCATTGCCTTTATCATCATTGCGTGTCTTAAAATAAAGAAGGCAATTAGAATGTTTAAATGGAGCTTGTTTAATACACAAGTTACATAAAGGGCTACAAAGTAAGTCGCCTACAAAAACGAAATTCTCCCTTATGTTTCGCGAAAATGTAAATCAAATTGGTGTATCCAGAATGTAACAGCCATAAAGAGCAACGTCGTTATAACCGAGTGTTATAGATCTATATCCCACTTAGAAAAGAAAAATGGAGAGTCGATCATTCAATCACAAAAAAATATAAGTCGGTTATTTACGTTTATTGTAACACGCATCAGCCAGTAATATTATCAAACCCGTGAGCCATATTATTTCCGATAAAAAGAGAAAATGAAGAGCTCAAAGTTGGGAAAGACCAAAATGGTTTTAATACTGACATCAACGTAATCGGATTATCTTTGGAACGTTTGTTCTTAGTGATAAGTGTCAATTTCTATAATGATTAATCGATAGACCGAAAATGAAATGGTTTTCCTTATAGAATCCGTCATAAATGAAAAGAGCCCTTGTATATAATACGAAACTAAATTATTAACCGAGAGTGGGAGAGCGTGTATTATTTTCAATTTAGGGATTACATTATTAAGTGGTCGAGCTGTTTATAAATTTAAGCGATGGAAACTGAATAATTTAAAAGTATGTTTCACACGTAGTTAGTTTTTGACTCGTCCCAGCTGACGTTTCCCTCCACAATCCCGTTCATAACTATGCATTAGATTTACAGCGAACCCTATCAATCACTTTTATAATTTTAGATGGACATGAACGACGATGAAATTGATAAATCAATTGAGCGCGAGGAACCGATTCGTGCCAGTGCATACGGCGCCCACCTTAGTCCAATGTATACAGGTATTTCTCCAAAGCTCTTAAAGCTTTTGATGACCGCCTCGTTGCAGATGTTCCAGACATCGTCCGCAAAAACTGCAACTTAGAGGACTACGTGATCGCTCCACTAAATGCGAAATCGCCCTCGCTGAGGAGCCCTCAATCTTTGTTGAACTTCTTCCCTCAACCGCCTCCGATTCCTCCACCGCCCGAAATGTACTCGGCAAATCCAAAAATCTACCTACCCCTCGAAGGTCACAAACCAATTCCATCCGCGCCATTACTAACGCCCACATCTCAAAGGTCATCAGATAGCAGATCGAGTCGCCGCTTCATATTGCCCCAGAGCATGGAGAAGGACGATTTTTCGGCCGTACGCGAGGAGGACATCGACATTGTAGAGTTCCCGCGGGAGCAACTGCGTGTAATAGAAAAACTAGGCGACGGACTCTTCGGCGAGGTACACCTGTGCGAAGTGCAGTGGCATTTAAATAATGTGATTAACAGTGATTGTAAGTTCGTCATGATACAGTCCTTAAAGGACGACTCGTATCGAACGTCATTTAACAAAGAAGTGCGTGTACTGTCGAAACTTAAAGACCCTAATGTTGCTCAATTGTTAGGTGCATGCTTAGATTACGAACCCTACTTTTCAGTTAGAGAACATTCAGAATTGGGTGATTTATGTCAATTTCTACAGGACCATGTTGCTGAAACTGCAACACCGTTAGCGTCAGCTGCAAGTACACTGAGGTACGTAAGAAAATAATAAACGACCCAATTTGTTATTTGAAAATATATTATAGCTACGGGTGTCTTATCTACATGGCGACGCAAATTGCATCAGGCATGAAATATTTAGAGTCCATGAGATTTGTACACAAAGATCTGGCTACTAGGTAAGTCCTATAAGAATCCCATAATAAAAGGCATAATTTCCTTATTGCCGCTTTCAAATTAAATTTTGTATATTTATTAAAAGTTGCTGATGTAATAACTGACGCGAACAGCTTGCCTAAATATTCATTTGTGTTTATATTAACTTCTGTTTTTCGCGATTTCCTACCCTCTTGTGAATGAAGTTTTCAAAGTAATTAAGGAAATTAGTATTTAGATTTTATTTTTTAATGCGCGCAGTTGTATTTTTCGCAGCATTAACTTACTATTCTTACCCAACTTTTTCTTCAATTTGAATAAAATTATACCTACTAAATTTTGAGAGACGACTGACTTGAATGTTATTGACATTAATAATGCATATTGAACGAATCAAAAATCATCCGCGAGGGGAATGTTGTGATCCAACAACCACTTTAAATAATACTTTTCTCCTTTTTTTTTAAATCTTTCTAAATAATTAAAGTTTTTTTAATGACTACGCCTCTATCTGACCTCCTTACTTGCATATGCTTTCTAATATTGTTCTTTTGTTGTCCTTTAACCAAAATTTAGCCCTGATAAATGCAATTCCGAACATGAATTGTTCCACTTTGATGCGAAAAGAAATGTGAAACGGGGGGTGTAGTTCCACCCCCCGCGGATTTCATACCGTTTTGCACACCTAATTAGAATGAAATTCCATGTTACCAGGACAAATTTATTTTTATAATGAGCGCGATTATTTAAATCATGAGGCCTTTTGAGCAATTTTTTCATAATTCCCTGAACTGAGATTACTTCAACTAATAGTAGGGGAGCTAGCACGAAATCCACTGAACGAGAATGATCAAAATTTTAACCGATGGAGTTCCATTTTGCCCTATCAGAGTATGCTAAAATCGATCGTCTGCCGCCTCAGGTCATACGACTTAAGGCGCTGCGGGTACTTCTTGTGCTACCAATTCTGAAAGGTTGTTTTTCGAGAAAATAAGTTATACACCAAATGAAAACGTTGATAATAGCTCTTAAAAAAATATTTAAAAAAATCGCGCACATTTGATAACTCCGTAAAAAAACAATTCTTAGTCGGTTTTTCACGAACTTTCTACGGATATAACTAGGTTACCGTTGGAAGAATGAAGCTGATTTTTTTTACAGACTAATGATAGGTACAGCCAATGACTATGAGAGTGTTTCTTTTTTAAATTTTTTCTCTAATTATAAGATATCTTATAATGTTAAGATAATAAGATAATCTTGTAATTAGAGAACAAATTTAAAAACGAAACACCGTTAATTCATTAGTAGTACCTATCATCAGTCTGTAAAAAAAATCAGCATCATTCGTCCAACCGTAACCTAGTTATATCCGTAGAAAGTTCGTGAAAAACCGACTAAGAATTGTTTTTTTACGGAGTTATCAAATGTGCGCGATTTTTTTAAATATTTTTTTAAGAGCTATTATCAACGTTTTCATTTGGTGTATAACTTATTTTCTCGAAAAACAACCTTTCAGAATTGGTAGCACAAGAAGTACCCGCAGCGCCTTAAGTCGTATGACCTGAGGCGGCAGACGATCGATTTTAGCATACTCTGATAGGGCAAAATGGAACTCCATCGATTAAAATTTTGATCATTCTCGTTCAGTGGATTTCGTGTTAGCTCCCCTACTATAAATAAATGCAATTTTTATTAAAATCTCTCAAAACTAGAACCACAGATTTAAATCTGTGCTAGAACTTTTACGGAAAAGAGCTAGCCTCACATCCGTCCATGCCCATAGATGGTATAGATCAACATGGTTAGGCGGAGATAAAACATTCTTGAATGTCCCAAAGTCTGAATTATGCAAAGACATTTTTTAAGCATGAAAATAGATAAGGCGCGTATTTTCCTAAAATACATGTCAATCAAGAGGCTATAGTGAAAGTTAGAGGCTAGCGGTGTGAAATTTGTAATTGTTTTTTTAGTTCTATTTTGCCGTCTCCACTATGCGTAAATCCACCCCTGATGGCATATTTTGGCGTAAAATGTGATCCGAAATAATAATACATGATAGTAATAAATGGGCGTTTTTCAAAAGTAAACGAAAATAATTTCTTACTGCTGGACTAACCAGTTTTGAGCTAAAAGCGAAGTATAGCAAAAAATCTAAATGTGTAACGCACTTCACCTTCCAAGTCCTAGATAGGTAACGGAAGTAAATATTACTTTCCTTGTTCAGAAATATCATCCACACTTTTCGGGTCGTTTCCTGCTAAATAAACAAGGCGTAGGTATATAAAGGAATCGAAGGAGCTTATTATTGCCTGGCGTAAGGATAACTAACTTAATATAAACGTTCATCAATTAAGTTCTGTCAGCGTCAAGTGCTCCACTCCAACTATTTAATATAAATTACGTGTGTAATCAGAAAACGTTTATGTGGAACTGAAATTCAATTACGTTTGTTTTATTGGGGCAATTATAAATGGTTTCAAATGCAATCGTACCACAGTAAACTAAAATCGATAATGGGGTTGATTAGCGTTTTTTTCCTTCTTTTGTTTGCGTTCAAAAGCGCGTGAAAAGGGCATTTTTTACTGTCTTGCGTGGTAATGCATAATGGCATAACAATGTAAGGGCGCTAGAATGATTCAGAGTTTTTGAATAGAAAATACGTATCTTATGTTACATGGGAAGTTTATGTTGCCGGAAATTACACTTTAAATGTTGAAGTAGGTGACGCGCGTAAATGTAACCTTCTTCGTGTGATTTACTACGGGTGAGACTTCGGGCAGTATATGGGATCTGGATAGGCAAAAGTTCCTCTAGAAATTCCATATCTGCTGTTATGCTCTCGGTTATAAAGAAATTCATTACTATACTGTACGTAATAAAAGTCGTAGAAGGAAGGTTCTAAAAGAAATTTTGTTATGTCGTCAGAAACCACAATTGCATTATACCGAGCTTCCACTACTTTACAATTTTTACTGAGACTTATGGTACATGGAATAAAGGTATATTTATTTACATTGCAGTACCGAATATCCATGGTTCCTCTAAAGCTTTTAATCCTCAAAACACACAACACCAGAATATCTCAACAACCTTCCACGTAACATTTCATAGTACTACCATACCTAAGTTTGGTTCTGATCGATTAACATTTCTCATTTTTGTTTACGTTGGAACTCATTATTAAGTTGCGACAAATTTACTGCAAACTCACGGGGGGCTTCCCGGTCCGAGCTGGCGCGGACCTCTCCTAGACCTCGCCGAACATTCCGATTGGCGATTGGGGTTGAATGCGTCGTTGGAGATGACATCCTGGGGAGTTAAGATGGAGCTCATACTATTTGGGAAACGGTTACGCCGCCGCGTACACACATCCCGGCTCGGTCCTCTGACTAAGACCCTCAGCCATAAATCAGTAACGTCAATCTATGTCTCTTATTGCCCTCCCTGTGAACACATCTGCAGGTCAAGCTCCCCCCTGAACTTTTTTTTACCAATGAGGCCTTGATTTCTCGTATTGGGTCGACACCATGGCGAATCACCTTGTCTTTTTATCAAATAGGGGTTGCGTTGACATTTTCTTTCTCCTTATTTACGTTCTTAAATTTTGTTAATTGTAATAAAAATTCCATTCTAATTAAGTGAATCATGAAACAAACCATTTTTGCTAAAAGCGTCTACATTCTAATTGTGCATGGAAAGAGCAGCTATCATTACTCCAAAACTGGACTTGTATTGTTGTCCTGTTCTGTACAGTACGAGGAAATATTTATTATAATTTGCATGTTTGCGTGTTTTAAAATTGAAATCGATCCCTCGTGACATGTGAAGTCAAAATTAAGGTTTAATCAGATACCGGAGTTTAAAAAGACTTTGAGATTTCAATCAAAATTTGGAGGACATGGTGATAATATTGATAACTTCACAACAACAGAAAATTCTCAACTTGCAAGTTTCTTACGGTTTTTAGAAAGATTTAGGGCAAACCTTATAGGAAGAATTTTAACTCTTATTTCTCCTAAGATATGTCTAAAGGCGATTTCGAAGGACGTGTCTAAGATTTCTTTGTCAAAATTCTAACAAGATTTCAAAAATAATCCTAAGATTGATAAAGATATTTCTAAATTTCGAAGGTTCCCACAAACTTGGAAGAACGGCAAGATGATCTGTAGATAAATTCTTAACTACCTATCGGCCAAATTTTCTATTTTCCAGGAAAATTGTCCAATAGGCATTTTCACACGATTAGGGCACTGTGCGCGGGTGCAACGTCCTGTTGAAACCCACAGTTTCCAACTCCTGTTTTTTTTGTATGTGTCTATGTGCTGTACATCGTTGTATCCGTAATAAAAAGGGGGGTCTCTATAAAAAAAAATAAACTTGACGATTTTTCCGAAACGTAACGTTGTATTAAAAATCTCTCAATGGTGTCTTGTAGAGCTCAAATAGTGACAATCAGAAAGTCTTTTTATATTTTGCTTTGTATCTGTTCAAACAACATCAGAAAAAATAACAAAATGGGCAAATTTCGGAAGTCATCGAAATTATCTCGTATTCTTTACAGTTTACAGCATGATAATATAACTCATTAATTGGGCAACTTTTCCCTTCGTGTCTTCTATGGTTTCCGAGATCCCCATGATAGACATTTTTACCTTGGACACTGTGTATACTCACGACCTTTGAATTGCAATTCCAAAAATTAACATCTTGAAAGATTTAGTTTTAAGGCGGCTTTCTTTAAATGCTCAAAAACGGTTTATAAATTTCTTAAATGTGTGGAAAATATGCTTAACCGCTTTTAAGTGAAAGTAAATTAGGCACTACGATCTCTCATTTCAGAAGGTACAAAGCGAGTATAAGTTAAAATTGCAATTAGAGCTTTAAGAAAACCTACGTGACTATTCACACAGTGAAAGAACTATTTCAACGTCTTAATTTTTATTAGTTTAATTTGAAAGAAAAGCTCTCATTCGAAAATAATTGGATATTAAAAGTCAGGTCGCGATAGCTTCGCATTCGAGATTTTGCTAATCTTTGTTCTTATTGGAGATACCTAAACTACAGTCAACGAAAAATTATGTAGACCTTAGTTAGAGGCCTAAGAAAACATCTTTCGCATAGTTAACTTACGAATCTCGTAAAAAGAAAATCGCTGAAAAAGCTCTATTGATATTATACTAAAATTTGATGCAATTTGGTGAGGTACATAGTTTTCCTTTTTTGAGGTTTTATAGATCTGCAGCGGAGAAAGCACCGAAAGCGAAAACTTTTGATCTTTCATGCTCACAAATTGCTATTCAAATATTTTTCCCAAGATTTGGGATCCAGCTCATTGAAATCCGACGAACTGTTTTTTTTAGTACCTAAACTGGAGTCTACATACTTCTACAGCGACAGTAATCCTGAAGCGTTGTAACATTTTATTCTTTCCGCAGGAATTGCATAGTAGGAAAACAGTATAGGATAAAAGTCTCAGACTTGGGTTACGGGAGGACTTTGTATATCAACGACTACTGCATCATTGCTGAATCAAGACCGCTTCCGTTAAGGTGGATGGCGTGGGAAAGCATCTTGCTGGTAAGAATTATCTCACAACAATCTTCCACATTTCCCATTTTCCATCTAGGGCAAGTACACATCGAAAAGTGACGTGTGGTCCTTCGCCGTCACGCTCTGGGAAATTCTATCCTTCGCACGGGAGCAGCCCTTTGAAGAGTTCAACGACTCCAAGGTGCTGGAAAACGTAACCTGCTACTATCAAGATAATGGACGGCATGTAAGTTACGTATCTTCCCCATCATCGTTAACTTACCAGGTCTTACCCACGCAGATTTTATTAAGCGTCCCGATCAACTGCCCGAAGGAGATCTACGACCTGATGTGCGAGTGCTGGCAGAGGAACGAATCGGACAGGCCAACGTTCCGAGAGATACACCTCTTTTTGCAGAGGAAAAACTTGGGATACCATCCCGAATTGAACTGACGGTGGCTTTTCTTTCTACCAACGACAATAATGTAGAATATGTGATATAACTTTAATTTGCAATTCTAAATTTGTTTTTTACTTAAGTGTACCTTAACGGCGAACGCCCCTCTAGAAGCTACCTACAATCTTTCGAAATTATGTCCTGACAGCACACTTCTTTCAGTTAAGGTACGTAAGTGCCAGTCTGTGTGCCTTCTATCCTTGCTGCTAACTTGCTTCCTACAAGTGCATTAAATTAATACGCCTCTCGTCAGCTTCCGATTCCAAAAGTTAATAATGTAGATGTTAATCTTGTTATTGGTGTTGGATTGTAAACAATACTTTATCCATATAGAAGCCAATCATTTTCAAAGCTACGAATATCGTTAAATATATAATGTAAGAAAATGCTACTCGGCGCTTTCAATAAAATTTACGTAAAATTATGTACCAAGCAAATTATATACAAAGAAAGCAATCATATCGGTTAAATAAATCAAAACCTCTAATCTTTGTAAATATAACATTACACGTAAGGTATGTAATTTGTCTTTTGTACATTAACATTGTTATTATTCTTACTATGGACCAATTTAAAATAAAATCGTAAAAATCGTGTTCATTTATTCCATCCGACCCTAAACTCCTGTTTGTCGATTAACTGAAAAAGGATAATAATGATTATTAAAGGCTGCTTGCAAAGTGTAACCGTTAGAAAGTTGGAAGAGTAATGCTCGCTGTCAGTAAGGCTAACCGCAAATGAACAGCGAACCTCGTTCCCAAAAAAACATGAAGGAGAGTCAAATATACGCGCCCTTCTAACGTAAGGGTATTAAAAAATTCTCCTGGCTGGAATAATTAATGTATGTAAACGTGCGAGTGGATGTGATTTCAGGTAGGTCGAACTAGCTTTGCACGCAAAATGGGTATTGATTTAGGTTTTTGCTTGCGTTGAAATTAAATAGCAAACAGTTTTGCATGTAACGCAGATTAAATGCTAGCATTTCCTATTATTTATAACGTTATTAAATTAGAAATGAGGATGTGCGTGGAAACATAAACTTTCGCCCGGGGGAGCGTTCATAATTCTTTTCAAAAGTATCGATTTTAATTTCAAAATCCGTTGTGCACGATATTCACGTTATTAATTGTTACATGTCCAAGTTGTCACCGAAACCACGAGTTCCTAGGTGTCATGGTGAAATGGTTACCCCTTTCCACCCCTTCGTCAAGATCAACAATTCAACAACCACTAACTAATTAGGTCAATACAATGGAACATAACGAGAATTCCCTCACCCCTAATACCAGTTGCAATGTACCATAAAAATTGAAGGAGGCATTTTAGGTGACCGGTGCCACCTAAAAATAGTTTTCTTCTGTACCTGGGGCATTTCTCTCCTTTTCAGTCGAATTATTTGCTTGATGTTGGCGTATTGGGGAAATGTTCCTTGTTACCCTTGCGACAAATTAGCGACACCTTGGTTTACCAACTGAAAATGATTCTGCGCCAAAACACCCGCGTCAAAACAAAATCACCCGCACTTGAGGGGCTGCGGGAAACCCTAATCATAACTATAGTAATCTATCAAAATAAACAATATTCCTTTGGCACTAAATACAATACGAAAAAGCCTCTTAAATTTGTTATTATCGCGCTTGTTATAAAACTTCATTACGGACAGGTCTGTAACTAATGAAGAGCGTTAAAAAACTTTAATCTCCTCAAGATTTCTCAATATCAAATGTAAAATCCCGCCATTAGGGAAACTTAAAAAACTCGAGGTTATCTTAAACTTTAATCGGTACTCAAGCATTTTATCAAGAAATATCGAAAATATTCCTTTGGCCACAACACGGAAGGATTTTTTACATTAAAAAACACTAAGTAAAATATTTTTTGTGAGGTGTTTCGACGAGGGTTATGGATAGCCCCTCAACAATTTTAAAAATTCCTGAATCAAGTATTGTGGTGAATCTAATTTTAAGTGCTAAAGGAATATTTTAGACTCCTTCTGGTTGGAATTTTTGAGTTAGATTGGAATTTCAAATAGTACCTCAAGATTCAGAAAATTTCTCTAATAAGATTTTGGTTGGAAACCAACTATACATTGGAATTCTGCTTACAGTTCTCTTTCTCACTCTCTTCTCAATCTGGAGAATCTAATTTAACAATTTACAAAACAATGTCAACATTATTAATTTTATTATCTATTTATTTATTGTTCTTCTCATGTTCTGGGCACTCAACAGGCTGTGACCCGCATAATGCTTTTTCGAGGTGCCCCTGCAGAAGGTAGTTGTTCTATACTACTCCGGTATTTACCTTACGAATTAGGAAAACTGCAGAAAAACCTAATTTGGAGTAGCCGGCAGAATGCTCGAAACTGATCTAAAGAAATTCCTATCTCTGTCACAGATGAAGAATTCACCTCAACGCAGGTTCGAACACCCGACCTCCCGGCTATGTAGCCCAACGTTCTACCATTGAGCCACACAGGCGGTATTATCTGTCCGTTTGTGTCGTCACGTGTTGTATATGTACCGAGATGAAGAAAATCGAATGCCGGGCTGTTCCTTACAAAACACGGAAAACCTCCAAAAATTATTCTTGAAGATATGTTGGCTGTATACGGGGATGATTTCCCTTCTAATTCAACTATTTCCGAGTGATCAATATTGACCCGTTAGGGTGCCCTGTTAACGTTATCACTTCAGATGTAGTTGAAAAACAGTCTTTGATACTGGAGGATGCACAACTAAAGAAGCCACAATTAACAGATTCACTAAGAGTTTCAGAAACCACCGTTAGGTATGGATAAAAACATTTTTTGGCAGAGCACCTATTTATTACATTCCTTTCCGAACTTCTTTATTAAATAATAGAGCTTCGCTCTGCCAAGTTGACGTAGAAAAAATCGTATTACCTCGCGAAATCTGGAAGACAATATTTGGTATTAATTAAACCATGTAAATGTAAAACAAATCACAAGTTTCCAGACTTTGCATACTCTCGTTTAACTAAAATGCACGCAAAGGATAAATGTGATTTTTTTTGTTAAAAAGGACCTTCAAGACGCCTCTCGCAACGAAAACGCGACGCGAAACAAAGACGGCGGTAAGTATTAGAAAAATGTTGTCATAGTCCTTTCGTTTATAGTTTCAATATCGCGATATTCCCTGCCATAAAAAGCAGAAGTTAGAAATGGCCAGAGCTTCCGAGACTTCTGGAACAGGTAAACCGTAAAATGTCAAAATGGTGATGGAAATCGGGTGGTATGACATTCCGTTAAAAGCATTTCCGGATCAGCGACCGATTTTAACGTTGTGAATGGAACAGCCCGTCGATATGACTGCTATTCAATTTCCTCAAATATAAATTTTGTTATGTCATGTAGAAATTGATAGGCTGTTGCTTGATATACAGGTGTGCACTATGTAATAAAAATTAATATTTATTGGTATATGGCGCCTTGGAAAATCTAATTGCGTTTTAGTTTTCCGAGGCGGCATCAATTTTCACGTTAGCTTTCTCGGTTCGCTTGAAGACAATAAACGATAATAGCGTTTAACAACTAAGGCAATTTTGGTGAAATGTAAACCAGGAAATAGCACTTTGCAAGTATTTAACTATAAAACGCGATAAGATCAGGCTAACATGGCAGAATGATCCTGTTATTATGCGGAATCTTAAACCTTGTAACACAAAGCGTGCACTTTAATGTATTTACTGGCGAATTTGCTGAAATAACTATTTAATTGTCTCAGGGCATAAATTCGGCAGATTTTACACGCACGTGTAAGCGAAATTTGAGCAAACGCGAGGGATTCTTAAAGCGTCTAACCGCATTACTTACATGGATTCTGAAAGTTAAAATCTGTTGTATTCCCCAACATGGCTTTACAATTCACGACACATTATGGAATTGCAGAGTTCGAAGTAGTCGGAAGGAAGTTATACCTCACAATAACATTTGTCAGGTTCTGGAATGGAATTATCCTGCTCCCAGAGAACGGCGACAAATTCGATTATGTGGGTCTAAAGTGCTTAACCCTTAGAACATCTTCCTAAAATACAATTGCTACATTCTCATTCTCCGCGTTTTCTTAATTTTTTCGTTAAATCATAATTTAAAAATCTTTAAAGGAAAAATGGAACGCCCCTCGCGATGATTAACTGTGCCAAGACATGATAACTGTACATCTGAAATTGATGGCGATGTAGTTTTCAGGTCATCACCGTGTTCGTAAATATTAAAGCAGCTTTGTCACGGACGTTTTTCTATATATTTATAAGATGACTTCCTTTTGGTTCCTTTCAGCCAGTGCACCATTCTTTTCTGAGCGCATTATTCTAAAGGGGAATTGTGGCTAACAAACGAAAAAGTGCAATTCATTTAAATCGGGACTCACGAAATTACCTCTTGCATTTTCTTTCATAATTGATTAACAGTGGCAGGGCAGATTACAAACTAATTTTGGGAAATAAACTTTCATAGCAAAAACGAACAGAAATTTACAATGGCTGGAATTCAATGAGATCAGTTTACGGAACTATAACTTCTGAACTTAGTTGGGAAACTATGAGCTTATATGAAATACTGGCGATTGCAGAAATTGTGATACAATGTGCAGTGGACGATAAAGGGTACACTTTAACCATACCATCTTGTGCATACAGTGGCATGTTTCAAATCTGACTGACGTTATGAAACGTCTTATTTTTCGGGTTACGACGTGCATTCACAAAGAATCAAGCCTTGTAGGTGTTCGAAAAGTAAAAGTTTACCTTACATAGATGCAAAAAAATATATAGTAATTATTTTCAATTAAAGAATTAATTCTCCTTTTCTCCGATTAGTCTGTTTTACATTACCATTTAAAAAAAATTAAAATTGTCCTGCAGGAAAACTTCACACTGCCCTGAGATTGAATTGAATTAATAGTTTAAATGCAATTAGACTTAAAGGGCGTTAGTCTTTGTGTTTTCCTATAATCGCTTCGCCAATTTAAAGAAAATAGTGTATTTGACGCTAAGCCTAATGATGGGGAGGTAACCCCCCGAAATCGATAGCTAAAGAAAAATATAAAAACACTTCAGCCTTGTTCTCTTTTTTATACTCAATACTGATAGACTGATATGGAGACATACATCTTTTGGAAACTCTGCTACAATTATCGGTGGTGTAAAAGTTGAGCTAGACTGCATTTTCGGGTCACCTCCAGGATGATATTCCAATGAAGTGAAAGCCCCTCCTCCGCGATGCTTACGATCTTCGATACTACCACCTGCATCCATGAAAATTGTAGACGATGATCGTCTCAAGCAATGACCTGTGAATGCAGCTGGATCTTCCCAAACCCAAATAAGGAGCAATTAGTTTTGGTATATCTCCAATTTTGTTACTACACACGGATTGTTTTGTGCATTAGGAGTTCCGATAGTTTAAACACAGTCGACCTTCCACCGTGGGTGACCAAACAGCGGCGTATTTTAGATAAATATTCAATAAATATGGACAAGAAACCAATTTCGAAAGAAAATTCAACTTTTTTTTTTTTTTTTGGAACTGTTTGAAATTATGAATTCTACAGGCGACATTCTATAAGAAATGTG